ATGCGTCCTTTAGACTAAATTATGTGCCAAAGAAGCAGAGGTTGGTATGATACATAAGCTTGGTAGATTATTTCCTCATTAAATTACATCCATCACTTTGTCGTACAGGTTCATCTCTTTGTTGCCTGTCATCTCGAAACACTATAAAAAATTGCTTCTTAAGAGATTGAAATCCATAACCTTGTTCCATCATCTCTTTGCATATGGCTCAGGCTTTCGACAAAGTATGGCATAAAGAACATATTCCTAAACCGAACATGTTACTGCCATGTCAATGCTGGAAACCATTGTATAAATGTAATATCTGAATTATTGAAATCATATTTATTAGAATGGTATTTCAGAAGAACACAGGAAGAAGCCTATTATCACCTAAGAGATCTCAATGTAGTTCACTAGGTTCTAATTGTTATCAGAGATATTTTTAATCTGGAGCACAATACGGTGGCTGATGATACTGAAATCCTGACTGCCGCGTGGCGATATTGTAATGTGAGCCATTTCATTATTCAGTCATGCTCTAATCCCCCAAATCCCTCTCTCTGTCTTATTTGGCCTTTGAGGCTCAACTTGTCCAAGCGGGAATCAGTCATTAATAGACTGTGAATATAAATAGTGGACGATTCAAAGACATTCGAAATATATATAAATTAGAATAGTATTGTTTAAAATAAATAAGCGTTTAAATAAATTATTAATAAATAAACTGTTGTTTTAAAATAAACAAACATTACATTGGTGTCGAGAAGTGGAATAGTGTAAATAAATAGTGGACAATAATGGATAAAAGACTGTGTGCTTTAAAAGTAACCTAGCTACGTCGGAAGTTAGAAGATCTCGAGTTGGAGAGGACAGGGAAGAAAGCAGAACTGACAGAACGACTTAAAGAAGCACAAGAAAATGAGGGTTTGGATTCAAAACGTATCTATTTTCTGATGATTCATCTTCTGCTATAATTTCTTCTATTTCTTCGTTAGAAAGTAAAGTTTCTTCAGACATTTCCTCCTTAGAAAGTAAAGTTTCGTCTGACATATCTTCTTTAAAAACCGAAATTTCTTCCGACTTGGAAACCAAAATGTCTTCTATGGAAAATAAATTTTCATCAAATATTTCTTCCTTAGGAGGTCTTTTCCGAAATGTCTTCTTTAAAAGATGAAATCTCTTCTGATATGACTTCTATGAAAAACGAAATTTCTTCTATGGAAGATAAGATTTCTTCCGTTGAGGAGAAAATAATGACTTCGGTTGAGGAGAAAATAAAAGAAATGGAGAAGAAGACAGAAGAAATGGAACACGTAGACCAAACCAAGAACGGTGAAATAAAGTGCCATGACGTAGAGTCGAACTTAAAATTGGAAAGAGCTGTAAACTCTGCTCGTGTTAAAGCCCCAACCTTCGACGGAAAGATGTCATGGACCAACTACCTCAAACAGTTCGAGACAGCTGCGAGAGCAAACGAATGGTCTGAGAAACAGAAGGCAGTGAATCTGACAATCGTCCTTCGAGGAGACGCTTTAGATGTCCTTCAGACTATACCCGTGTAAGAAACGGATGATTTTGAGCAACTCAAAAAGAGACTAAATATGCGATATGGCAATGAACACTTGGAGCAGGTGTACAGATTACAGTTGAAGAATCGCAAACAGAAACGTGACTAGAGCCTTCAAGAATTTGAATTAGATATTGCGAAGATGGTGCGATTTGCCTACCCATCAGCTCCGGAATACATGATTAAATGTTTGGCTGTTCAAGCATTTGTAGATGGACTTCGTGACCATGAAATGCAAAGAACACTCCGTTTAGCCCTTCACAAAACATTGGTCTATGTCTTGTCCGCTGCTCTTGAATAAGAAGCGGCTACGCTGGCTTCTGGTGGATACAGTGAAGTAAGGACTGTAAAAGAAGAAGAACAGGGAAATAAATTGAACCAATGTTTCACATGATAAAAAGCCTTATTGAGAAACAACCGAAGACTATTAGATGCTGAAATTGCGGTGAAATGGGAAAAGTAAGCAGTTCGCGCGAACGCCCAAAGAACACTACGAATCGAAATACCGTGCCGGTGGCTGTACAGGAAGGAACGGTGTTGCCTGAAAGTAGTAAAACCAAAAGAGTAAGGTGGTTGCAAGGAACTGTAGAGATAGCAACGCCTGTCATGGCGGAACCTCCGAAGCGCAATGGCGGCGTTGGTCAAGGAACTCTGATTGGAAAGGGGTTGGCCACATCTGTTAAAGAAGTTACAGTACGAAGAACGTCGGTTGTCAGCGATGAGTGGGCCCCAGTCAAACTTAGGGAAGAACAAGAAAACGATCCCGTTTTAAAGAAGATAAGAGAATGTAAAGAGGAAAATCGTCAACCTACTTGGGAAGAGGTATCGAAACTCTCTCCAGTAGTTAAATCATATTAGGCTCAGTGGGACTCCTTTATTCTGGAAGATGGCTTATTAAAGCGAGTACTTGAAAATGATGATGGTTCCGAGAACAGAAAACAGTTGGTCATTCCAAGGAGTAGAGTATCCGAAGTACTTCGTCAGTTAAACGACAGTCCATCAGGAGGACATCTTGGTGTTAGGAAAACCATTCAGAGAGTTCGGGAAAGGTTTTATTGAATGAACAGTTCCGAAGATGTAAAGGACTGGTGTAATAAATATACCAGCTGTGCTATGAGTAATGGACCTAAGCGAAAAAGGAAGGCTCTCATGAAGCAATACAACGTTGGTAGCCTATTTGAGAGGATCGCCTTATATATTGCTGGACTATTCCCCGCGACCTAGGATGGTAATAAATACATTTTGGTGGTTGTAGATTATTTTTCAAAGTGGGTGGAAGTGTATGCTATTCCAAATCAAGAGGCCACAACTGTTGCAGATGTATTGATAAAAGAGTTTATCTGTCGATTTGGAGTGCCCTTGGAGATCCACAGTGACCAAAGCAGAAATTTTGAAAGTTAACTTTTCCGTGGAATCTGTGACAGACTAGGCATGAAGAAAACCAGAACCACAGCATTGCACCTACAATCCGATGGAATGGTAGAGCGAATGAATAAGACCATTGGCAAATATCTGTTAAAAGTGGTTTCAAACCATCAGCGAGATTGGAATCAGTATCTTTCCCTCTTTGCAATGGCTTATAGATCCGCTGTCAATGAATCAACAGGCCAAACACCAGCAAATATCTTGTTTGGGCGTGAGATGAGACTACCGTGCGACCTCGAGTTTAGATGCCGACCTGGAGAAGATGTAGCTGGTGAAGATTATGTGATCCGGTTACGAAGAAGAATGGACGACATGCATGAATTAGTTCGCTCGCATCTCCAAATCGCCAGGACAGGATGAAGAAACGGTACGATACTCAAGCTACGGAGGGATGTTTCAAGGAAGGCGAAAAAGTCTGGCTCCATAACCCAAAAAGACAAAAAGGGTTATTCTCCGAAGCTACAAAGGTCTTGGGAAGGTCCGTACCTCATAAAGAATAAAATAAATGATGTAATGTACCGTATAAGTAAGATCTCAAACGGTAAACCAAAGGTAGTGCATCAAAACAGGTTGGTGCCATTTGAGGGTGACCATGAAGAAGAAGTAAACCAACTTCGAGAAACACCTGACCTTGTCTTTGAAGAATTTATGGGTGCATATGGAGGTACTGGAAAAGCCAGATATGGTATTACGACCGAGCAACAACAAGATCTGCTCTCGCTTCCGAAAGACTACTCGCTGGTCCATAGTACTTCCACCAGCAACAACGATGCGCGAGGACTGGCATGTGTTCCGTAAGAAGTTTGGTCGACTGGTAGAACTTCAATGTCAGTTACCAGCCCCTGGAAAAGCCTTGAAACTTCAAGACGGGTCGCGTTATTGTTTCTATTTAATAACGAAGAACACCTTCCGAGATCGATCCATCTATCAGGATGTATGGGAAGCATTACTTAGTCTAAGGGAGCACGTACGGGAGTCCAATGTGCAGAAACTAGCAATGCCGAAGATAGAAGGAAATCAGCTGGATTGGAGGATCATTAGGAACATGGTGGAAGTAATCTTTCAAGATACCGGAGTCCAAATACTAGTCTGCAGCCAATCGCCCAGTGCCCAGGTTACAGCGAAGACAGTCCCTTGTTACTTCCATGCAACTGGAAATTGTAAAAGAGGGTGCAGTTGCAGATACAACCATTCCATTTTAGTTTCATAAAAGTTCCAGGAGGAACTATCTCTTATGGAGGGGGAAATGTAATGTGAGCCATTTCATTATTCAGTCATGCTCTAATCCTCCAAGTCCCCCTCTGTCTTATTTCGCCTTTGAGGCTCAACTTGTCCGATTATCATACATAATTAAACCCCTTAAGACCAAACATATGTGACGACTATGGCGGAGGAGCTTCCGATGACTATTCGAGAAAGAACGGGATAATGTTTCTAGTGTATTCCAAATATAACGAGATGTCTCTAGTATTGGTGAGAATTGGTGAAAATTCTAGTACCTTCGCCAAACTTTTAAATTTATATATAAATATTGGTAGAGGATCAAGCGGGAATCAGTCACTAATAGATAGACTGTGAATATAAATAGTGAACGATTCAAAGACATTCGAAATATATATAAATTAGAATAGTATTGTTTAAAATAAATAAGTGTTTAAATAAATTATTAATAAATAAACTGTTGTTTTAAAATAAACAAACATCACAATATGATCTGTTCTACTGTTTTTACTCTAGGGCCTTGGTTTATGAAGTTTTTCAATTCTAGATAAGTAATGTAAGAATAAAACTGCTTTTTGGTCATATTGATCAGACTGTGATAATCATAAATACTTTACTTGGGGGTATTTATTAATAAAAAAAATACCAAACAGAATGAATAATACAGAGAGAAAAATACTATTATTTGTAAAAAAGGCTAAAACAGACAAGGAAGAAGAGGAAGGATATGAAGGGAAAGAAAAAGGTAAAAATAGAGGGAGAAAAAAAAAGAGAAAGAAGCAAACAGGTTCAATTGAAATCATACTTAAATGAGCACCATTGCCGAAACCAAAATTGCATCCACCGTGAAACATGTAAATATTTACTGACGAAGGATATTTTAGAATACGCTCGTACAAATCTTTCATGTCACTAGCACTTCTGGTTTGATGACTGTCAGTCCAATGGTCAAACCATCCAATCCAGAATTCCATAACCATAAGAGGCCTTAAACATAAAAAATGGAGCGATTTATACATTTTTGAAATATTAATTAATATGCATGGTAAGGTGTAGGATTTGATGGGTGCTGTATTAGCAGTAATTTAATTTCTGTTGCTACGATATCCAGAAGAAAGAAGTCCAAATTACATACTTGTTTGGTTGTAGCTGAGCCAATTTATCTAAGTAAGCCTCAGGTGAATCTCCAAAATTGGTAGTTTGAAATAAAACGCCTGGAAGAGTTCCCGAGTCACCTCTACCAATTGCATTATCTGATGTCACTAAAAGCTCTACAATACCATTGTTCAAGTACAGCTGTCGAAGGATGTTTAAATAATTTTTTGATGGTTGGAAATTTTTATATCCCGTATAGCCATACTCGTTTTCTATTTGAAATGCTATAACTGGTCCACCTTTAGTAAATTGATACTTTTCTAAGATAGGGAGAAGTATGTTGTAATACCTAAAATTTTTAACAAATACAAGGTTTTATTAAACATTATTAACCCTGGATATATAAAATATATTCTAAGATTAATATAAAATATTTTACCTGGAAACATATTTGATATAATTTTCTTCATCGGTTCTAAATCCCATGGGTTTTTCCCTTAATAACCAACTGGGGTATCCTGCAAAATTATATTCAGCGCTGATATATGGCCCGGGTCTTAAAATAACAAATAGGTCTTCCTCTTTAGCTAAATTAAGAAATTCTTCCAAATAGAGGAAATCATCCATCTCTGATCCACCTCCTCCAAAATCATAGAATCCAGATTGTGGTTCATGGAGATTCCAAGGGATGTATGTTTCGACTGTGTTTAGACCAGCGGCCCTGATAATACACAAGTTAAAATAAAAGTTTTTAATAGGTATAAGGACGATTAGACATAGATTGCTTATGAACCGGATTTTATACGTAATAATAATAAAAAAAAATAAAACGTTTATTCATCAGCTGATTTGACAACTATGCTAAAAATAAAAAATAAAATATATATATGTCGAGATCAACGATTAGAATTGTTTGTTTTGTTTGTTGCACAAATTATGTCACACCAAATGAGCATTGACAAAATGGCGATGCGACAAAACAGCGCCAAGACGAAAGGTCGCCATAATATAACAAATAGGTTGCAATACAAAATAGCACCTTATAATAAAGGGCTGAACAATAAATACAATTATAAGTATCATCATATTGAGGGGGTGCTCTAATCCCACAGGTGGTTGAATCTAAAGGTAAAATTTAAAAATATTTTCCTTGTACCTATTCAAATTAAAATTTAACAAAAAATTAACTAATCTACCGCACTTTTGCGGCCTGGAGCCACCGCGTATTCCTTTCAAAAAAATGAGTAAAATAAAAAATATAACTAATTTACCTAATCTGTGAGGTCTGGAGTCATCAACGAGTTATCCAGATATTTGGAAGCAAATATTAATAATTTAAAAAAATTCATGTTTATTTTTAATCCAAAGGAAAATTGTTTTTTTTTTTAATATAGATAACGTTTACTAATTCAAACGGAAAATAATCCATGTATAAGTTAGATTTTAGATAAATCCAGTCCTGTTTTCCAGACTTCGAAATGGTCTGTCTAGTCGTTCTCGAAATCGTTCCTCTACGCGTCGACCCGCGACAAAAGAACCTTTAAGTAACTTCTCGAGTCTCGAGAAGGTTAGTGAAAGCGGAATACACAGATGAGCAGATTAACGGCGTAAACAAAGATCAGGGCCGGACTGGTTAAAAATTGCTCGCACAAAATTGCACCCTCCTTAAGTGATAGTTCCTCCTGGAACTAAAACTGAATAGATGTATCTGCAATTGGACTCTCTTTACAATTTCCTCCATTTGCATAAAAGCAACAAGGGACGGTAGGCGCTGCAACCTGAACAATTGGACAATGGCTGCAGACCAGTATTTGAACCTCGATATGTTGAAAGATTACTTTCACTATGTTTCTAATGGTTTTCCAATTCAGTTGATTGCAATCTATTTTTGACATGGCTAGTTTATGTACATCGGACTCCATTAAACTAAGTAATGCTTCAAATACATCATTATAAGTGGATCGATCTCGGAAGGCAGTTTCAAGGCTTTTCCAGGGGCTAGAAACTGGCAATTGACCAAACTTTTTCCGAAACACAGATGCCAAACCTCTAGTGTCGTTGACGTTGGCGGAAGTGCTATGGACCAGCGACTAGTTTATTTTTGCTCAGTTGTGACACCATATCTTGCTTTTCTGGTACCTCCCTATGCACCCATAAATTCATCAAAGGCAAGATCAGGTGTTTCTTGGAGCTGATTTACTTCTTCCTCGTCATGGGCACCCCCAAATGGCGCCAGCTGGTTTTGGTGCACTACCTTCGGTATACCGTTCGGGATCTTGCTTATACGGTAAATAACATCAACATTTTCTTTTTCTTGATGAGGTACGGACCTTCGCAAGACCACTGGAGTTTTAGAGAATAACGCTTATAGCTTTTTGGGTTATGGAGCCGGACTTTGTTGCCATCCTTGAAACATCCTTCTATTGGATATCATACTAACTCATACATGCCGTCCATTTTTCTTCGTAACCGGATCATATAATCTACAACGGCTATGCCTTCTCCAGGTAGTCTCATCTCACGCCCGAACATGACTTTTGCTGCTGTTTGGCCTGTTGATTCATTGACATTTGTCGTTGTGAAGAGCGAAATATACTGATCCTAATCTCGATGATGGTTGGAAACTACTTTTAATAGATATTTGCCAATGGTCTTATTTATTTGCTCTACTATTTTATCCGACTGTGGGTGCAATGCCGGAGTTCTGGTTTTCTTCATGCCTCAAAAGAGCTGACATTTAAAATTTCTACCTTGCTTACTGTGGCACTCCAAATTAACTAATACATTCTTTTATGAACACATCTACAACAGTTGCAGCCTCTAGTTTTGGCATATCTGAGACTTTCATCATGTATTTATTACGATTCCCAGTCATAGGAAACGGTCCAGCAATAGCTAAGGAAATCCTCTCGAATGGGCTACCGACTTTATATTGCTTCATGGGAGCCTTCCTCTTCCGTTGAGGTCCATTACTCATAGCGCAGGCAGTACATTTCTTACTAGTTCTCTACATCATTGGAACTGCTAATCCAATAAAACCTTTCACGAACTCTCTGAAAGGGGTTTCTTAACACGGAGGTGTCCTCCTAATGGACCGTACTTCGGCTACTCTAGTTTTTGGAATGACCAACTGTCTTTTGTTTTCAGAATCAACATCGTTTTTGAGTATTCCCTTTAATAAGCCTTCTTCCAGGATAAAATAATCTTACTGATCCAAATATGACTTGAGTATTGGAGAGAGTTTAGATACTTCTTGCCAAGTAGGTCGACAGTTTACCTCTTTTCATGTTCGCATCTTCTGCAAAACGGGATCGTTCTCTTGTTATTCCCTAATTTTGGTAGAGGCCTACTCATCGTTGACTACAGTTTCTCTTAGTAGTCTACTTTCTATGGATTCTGCTCTGTTGCAGTCAGAGAACTCTGCTGAGCACGGTCTTCTTAAGAGAGAATCGGCATTTGTATGGCTTATTTGGTCCCGATGTTCGATCTTAAAATCGTACATTGAAGTAGTTCAATCCTTCTGGCGATTTGAACCTCGGTCCGGATTAAAAATTCCCTCCCAAATAGGTATTTGTAGGAGTGTTTCATGCAATTCACAACTTCCGGTAGTTCTCTTCTCGCGACGCAGTAATTTTGCTCAGATTTGGAGAATTCTTCATGAAAATAACCCAGGACTTTTTATTGACCTTTTTAAATCTGCGAAAGCACTCCTCAACTTCCCACATTACTGAATTACAGAATGGGCACTGTGGTTAAACTTTCTTTAAAGTTTTAAAGGCAGTTTGCCAGTCTTTTTCCCAGCAGAACTCTCTCATTCTATTGTAAGTTGCGTTAATGGCTTAGCAATATCTGCAAACGTAATGACGAATCTTCGATAGTCCGTACAGAACCCTAGAAAACTTCTTATTTGATGTTTATAAGTTGGTAGTAGCCACTGTTGGAAGTGACTTTTTCTTTATTTACAGCCACGCCATTCTTGCTAACTATAGGTCTTTTCCTTTGCATTGAAAGTGTAGCGCTGAGCTACGTCACTTCTGAAAATATCGTTCTATCCATACAATTTGTATAAATGGAACGATATTTTTAGAAGTGGTGTAGCTCAGTGCTACACTTTCGATGCAAAGGAAAAGACCTTATATGACCTAGTTAATTAACTTTATTTTGGATTAGCAGGTATTTCTTGGGGTTAAGCGTTAGTTGGGCAGCTTGAAGTCTTTTAAAAATATCTCCTAAATTCTTTGGAAGCTCATTAAATGCCTTCTCCGAGACTATGATGTCGTCTAAATACACCAGGCACGTTTTCCAGGATAACCCTCTCAACACGTTTTCCTTAAGTCTTTAAAATGTCGTAGAGGCATCACATAGTCCAACGGGCAAGACATTGAATTGTCACGACAATATAAAATTGTAATTTCAAGGCAGTTAAGAGGTTTTGTTTTTATTTAATTATCCAATATACATTTTTATACTTATCCTTATTTATAACACATTTTTATTTGTTATCGTCATTTTGTACCGGCGCTTTTTTGTTCTGGCACAATTTTGTCTCGCGCTGAATTGTCCGCCTTAATTTAGTCCTGTGCCATTTTGCGATGGTGCTAATTTTTCGCGGCCATGTTTTGTCGCAGCACTGTTAAGTCACCGCTAGTTTGAGTAGCTCAGGGCCAGTGTTGCCTAACCAACCAAATCTCAAAACAACCTTTTTTCGTATATAAACTATTTTAAAATAATTTCTGTGCAAGTCAAAGTTGTCAATTTCATAAAATTATTTGTTTTGACCTAAAGATTAGGCAGTTACGTCTAGTAGACACAGATAATTTGCTTTGATCTACGTTTACTCACTTTTAATAAATCGTTGGTTAGGCAACTCTGGCACTGGAACAGTGCTGGAAAAGTGCTGGAACACTCATTCATACGGCGTTGTTTTACGCTTAGACTAGATAATAAAGAGAGGACGCGTAACAAGTAATAATAATAATAATAATAATAATAATAATAATAATAATAATAATAATAATAATAATAATAATAATAATAATAATAATAATAATAATAATAATAATAATAATAATAATAATAATAATAATAATAATAATAATAATAATAATAATAATAATAATAATAATAATAATAATAATAATAATAATAATAATAATAATAATAATAATAATAATAATAATAATAATAATAATAATAATAATAATAATAATAATAATAATAATAATAATAATAATAATAATAATAATAATAATAATAATAATAATAATAATAATAATAATAATAATAATAATAATAATAATAATAATAATAATAATAATAATAATAATAATAATAATAATAATAATAATAATAATAATAATAATAATAATAATAATAATAATAATAATAATAATAATAATAATAATAATAATAATAATAATAATAATAATAATAATAATAATAATAATAATAATAATAATAATAATAATAATAATAATAATAATAATAATAATAATAATAATAATAATAATAATAATAATAATAATAATAATAATAATAATAATAATAATAATAATAATAATAATAATAATAATAATAATAATAATAATAATAATAATAATAATAATAATAATAATAATAATAATAATAATAATAATAATAATAATAATAATAATAATAATAATAATAATAATAATAATAATAATAATAATAATAATAATAATAATAATAATAATAATAATA